ATTTTACTTCAAAAGAGAAAGGTTGAGGCCTTAATATGATTTTGTATTCAATTTCATATAATAACTTTAATGAAAGTCAGCCTCAGTGTATTATGTAAAAGCCAAAATGTGATTAATTAGCTATAATGCTTATTTGCTAGATATCATGCATACTGAGCGAAACCTATTGTTAATTATAACTGCTAGATATAATAAATAATATAAAGTTAATCAATTTCACCATAACATAATCCAATAGTGTGCGAAACCACCTGAGATTCCTGCCGGCTTAGCCTTGCCAGATTCTAATATATTTACATTCAAGCACAAGCGACCATTGACGTATCAAAACGTTAATGCAAGCGACAGTAATATTTTATTTTATCGTATTATAATAATAAGTCTCTAATTGGGACGTCCAGGCGCAAGCTTTATTGCGATGAAAATGCATTTTTTTACAATAGATGTCGCTAGGTGCGCTTAAATGTGATTCATGTTAGTTGATTTTTCTGAGAGATAAACTTTTTAATGTAATATATATTGTCAAGTTTGTGTACGAAAGTGCAATAAATAAATATTGTATTCTACCACATAAATGATAGTACTTTTATGCTGATAATTAAAGGAATTCGTGCAAAATTAATCCCTAACCATTCCAAAATATCAAAATGCACAACGTTAATATTCAAGTTTTCACTTCTGCCGGCACTCCCGGAGTGCAACCCTTCGTTTTTTTTTATTTTTGTTTCTTGCCGTCACATAGGAAATATGGCGTTAGTACAAAAAATTGTTGTCTCACAGATTTCCTATTAAATGAGTTATCTTCATTCTCAAAACAATCGTTCGAAAATAAAACGTGGCCTAGGGTCTCACGGCCTACCCCGTAAATCCCTTACTGACATGATACTATGTATATGTTAAGATATGACGTTTTGCTTATTCACGCGTTTTTTTATATGTATAGCACGAAGTTTAGACAAATGAATTATTTTCTTGCATTGGGAATAAATTAATTGACTTTCTTTATTATTTGTCGTAATGAAAGCTTTAATGACACGTACCTACCTACTTTGTGAAAATTTCAAGCGATTATCTTTAACGGTTCAGAAGATAGAGTCACTGGAAGAAAGACGTAGAAAAACACATTCCTTTATAGTTACTTGTATGGAAACCCATTTCAATTTTAGATTTTTTATTTTTATTACAATATTCCGTGAAAATTTTAGTTTAAAAAACACATGAAACATTTTATTAAAATAGAAAAAATAGTACAATAATAAATACATAAATATTTCCACCACTCACACCAATTTTAGCCTAGGCCCAAAGTAAGCACTATAGGCTTGTGTTATGGGATACTAGGGTAACGGATAGAATACATATAAGTATATTTATATAGAAATACATATTAAAAATCCATGACTGGAGTACGAATGCTACAAATAATAACAACTAATTAACTTTTAATTGTACCCATTGTTATAGATACAAAGGGTACAATGAAATTTTCGGTGAAATTTCCGAATGACCAAACAAAAAAATATATATGAAACAACAAATCACTGTTACATTAATGAAAATTAAAAGCGTCGGCTCCATTGTATACGTCTACGTGTCATTTGTGATAAATATGCTCCAATTCTTTTGAAAATAAAGAGTAGTGAGAATTTGTAGTGTTGTAGTCGAACTTTTACAGACAGTTACTTATTAGCTCCTATAACAATAATTACAACTAGCCTTTATTTCAAGAATTACAATTCATTGTTAATACCTTTTAACGAAAATAAATAATACACTCGAGAGCAATGAATCCGGGTCACTTAAAGAATCCTAAAAATCTCGCAAACTAAGAATGCTAGCTTGATGAAATAAATTTTAATTAATAGACAGTTAAATACTCTTTAAATGAAGATATTAAAACTTCTTAGTTATTGTGAAGTTATATCATAAAAAAATCTAATTTGAAAAAGGGAGACTTTCAAAGATGGAACTACGAAATTACTGCATTTGTTTTTGAATTTGTTTCTAATCTGTCATTTATCATTCATATAAACTATGTCGATGGTATTCAATATTAATTATTCAAGCTGTAATCATGTCAGTGTCATCAGCGCGATACAGCCAGGACTGTCGGTGTGTCGAGGAAACTGGCTCTAATCTACGCAGACCAAGAACAGGCAGATCCAGGTGTGCGACAGCACGAGAAGATCGATACTTGGTGAACACCATGTTACGAAATCGCTTTCTCCCAGGAACTGAAATTACAAATCAGTTTCGACGCTTTGGAGGAAGTAACCCGAGCGCATGGACAGTAATACGACGACTTGCTGAAGCTAGCTTGAAACCACGTAGACCTGCAAACGGCCCTAAACTGGAGCGTGGGCATCGTATTTCAAGACTAAGATATGCCCAGAACCACTTAAATTGGACTATTGATGATTGGTCAAAAGTTATGTTCTCCGAAGAATCAAAATATATGCTCTCCAAGCACGAGGAAAGATACAAAGTATATAGAAGACCTGGGAAAAAATTCAAGCAAGCTTGCATCGAAGAAAAAGTAGCCTACGGTGGTGGGTCTGTACTTGTGTGGGCCGGAATTTCTTCTGAACAGAACTGGTGTTCATAGAAAGCGGTTCTTGAATTAGCGAATATATGTGGAAGATACCTTGAATGAACATGTTGGTCCCTTTATGGTCAATTTGGGTGAGGATGCTATTTTTATGCATGGCAATACCCAACCTCATACAGGTTGGATTTACCTTCAAGAGATGAAGATTACTCCTTCTCCGATTGACGACCTCCGTGGCCGAGTGGTTTGAACGCCGGGTTTCATGGTGTCGCCGACTTGAGAGGTCCCCGGGTTCGAACCCCGGTGGGGGCAGATTTTTGTGTGATGAATACGAGCATTTGTACTCCAGTCATGGATGTTTAATATTTATTTCTATATAAATATACTTAAATATGTACAGTATATGTATTCTATCCGTTACCCTAGTATCCCATAACACAAGCCTTACAGTACTTAGTTTGGGGCTAGGCTAATTGGTGTGTGTTGGAAATATTTATTTATTTATTTACTCGTATGGAGTGGCCAGCATACAGCCCGGATATCAACCAGATCGAGCATGCTTGGGACGAGCTAGGGAGATGCGTAAAACAACGAAACCCTCCCCAAATTACGTTTCGAGACCTCAAATTGCTCTCACAGAAGAATGGGAGAATATTCCCCAAAATTATATAAGAAACTTGGCGTACAGCATGCCGAACCCGGTAAACGCAGTAATGGAAGACAATACGAAGTATTAAAATTCAAGAAAATCGTAATTTTGTTCAAAAAAGTCATGTTTCCTATTTTTGTTTTAAGGCGAGATCAGCCAGTTTTTTTCTTTGTGTATCTTTTCTATAATTAAAATATGGTGACTCTTAAATTTTATTACTTTTATTTAAGGAGTATTTAATTGTCTTTTAAACACAATTTACTTCATTAAGCTAGCATTCCTAAGAGATTTTAGGATTCTTTATGTGACCGGGATTCATTGCTCTTGGGTGTATATCACTTGTGGAATATATGTATAAGAAATTTCGTTACTGACGAGCTTTAGTTGAATATAGCTTTAGATACACAGAATACCTTAATGAAATCGTTTTGTTTACTCAATTAGTTTCCCGGCATCTGAACAAACATCGTGATGGATAATAATCACACAACAAACACAACACTACCAAAATAAAATTCTCTAGTAGGTGCAGCTTTGTTTAAATTTCTTTTCATATAGCAAATAACACATTTTATGTATTCTCGGAATGTTCACTCGATTTGTGTCCAATTATGGTTTTGGAGTACCACTCAGTGTACTAAATAATTGATTATTAAATGTGACTGAACCTTTAACCATTCCGCTTTTTCAATTATTTGTGAATTTAACTTAGTTAAGTTAATAATTTAGAAACCGTACCCTCATCTCAGTTCATCATCCCTGGATTAATATTCATTTCTGAAATCTGCCAACTTGCGTTGGACTCCTTCATTGCATATTTCTTTAATTCATATTTTAGTAAACTTTGCTATATCGAGTTTAAGCACATAACTTTCATTTGGCAGTAATAATAATACTGTTACATTTTTAGCAAGTCCCATATAGATTTAAAATAGAAGATAAGAATTTGTATGAAATTTTATCATTGTTGAACTTTAAATTTTATACATTTGTATGTAGACCATTACATACAATTATACTTTTGATGTTTTATGATTAATCGTCTTTCTAAATATGATAAAAAGAAAGTTGGTAATTGGGCTTCTGATTAACTATTAAAATAGTATTTTTAAGAACTTCATCCTCGAGGGATTGAAATTGAAGATTCAAGTCTATGGATTTCTGGAAATTCATTCGCTAAGGGGTTAATCTCCTTAAAAGAAGAACAAAGGTTCGATAAATAATATAAATGAGCACAAGGAAGGGATATTTAAAAAAACCCCGACCCTTACAGATACCCTATAAACGTTTTAGAAAGATTTCGTTAAAAGCAACTCAAGTTAAGGATCTATTTCTAAAAAAATATACGTAATGATTTTGGTTCCAATTTTCATTTTGTTTTTTTTTTCAAAATACAGGATTTTGAACAAAATACAAAATACAATACAAATACAAAATACAAAACTTCAGTATTCTACGCAAGCTACCCGGGCTACCCCGCAAGCGGAATCTTAATTTATCCAGCTGTAAAAGTATAAGTATGATTATTTTAATATTATTATGTGATTCTCTAGTGAACCGTGAACATATAACTTCTTTCATTAGATATTTATTTACAGTAAATAATTACGAAATTGTTTCTAACCGCATCCTAAAACTACTGAGGTCTGTATTCGTATAAATAAAACAACCCTTGAACAACTTAAAGTATGTACCTAACTACCTTTACACAAAACCCGGCGCCCTAAGCGTTTGTTCGCTGTCTATTGTATCTAATTTTGGATAAAACTCAGCGTATTGAATGATTGATTGACGTTGACTGACCTGTTTCCATTCTACTTTGTCTATCACTTCACTGCCCGTAGCGTTTTCGGTCACCGGCGGTCGTAACAAAGACACGTACTGAAAAAAATACCCTTGTTAAGTACCTTAAGCCGATGTAGTTTACTTAATTTTATCTTTAAAGTTTTTAATGAAATACCCTTGAACAAGTTTTGAAGGGCGTTTACTAGAACTTTAGATATTAAAGACATTGCCCAGGCATTCAAGGCAGAGGCACCAAATTTGGAACCCGCTTTGGCGCTTTGTGAAATTTAAATGAATAGATCGGAACAAATCCCTTCAGAATCAAACAAGGTAATTTGAAACTGTGACTTACTTTCATAATTTTTTTATAAATCAAAATTCACAAATACTTATTTTGCCAACTTGGAGAATTAAAGAAGACCAAAACATTTATGGACACAGAAATTGTTCTCATAAAAGTAAGCCACAGCCAACTAAGAAAGTAAAGAAAATGTTTTCGTACATGGGTATATTATGTTAACGTCTGGATACAAACGCCAAGGCCAAAGATACTTTTAAGCCAAAAAGTTACCTTATCCTTTTCCGTGATGGATCACAAAAAGTTTCGTCGTGGTTGATAGCCTGAGTGGTGTCTGATATACGCACTCAATCAAGTTTTGGACACGATTAGTTAAGAGAAGACACTTCGAAGTTAAGAGGGATACTCTTGTTACTTACTTGCATGTAATGATGTTCCATCACATCTCGCTAACAGTCGGAGTTACATTATATGAATACACAAGTTTGAAAGGAGTAATAGTACTATAATATAAGGAAGCTACTCATTAATTTAACTTAGATATACCTTTATACCACGGATTAAATATTTCGATGTTATTAAATAATAATGTGGGGATTTTTGGATTATCAATGTATTAAGATAGTATTCTTCTGTTAAATTACATAATCAATCAAACCCAGGGTAGGAGGTGGCCACGCGCATGTAATACCTCCTTAATAACGCTTGTCTATATAATGTAATACTCGTCCGCAATTACGCTAAGGACAGCATGTCCTTGTTTGCTTCCATAATAACAAAAAGAAAAAAACACAAACATAGTAAAGATATACTCAAATTACCTTATCCCTCTCCAAGCTGCGTATCATATCTAAATCTGTGGTGTCGGATATACCCCCGTGGACCACGAATACGCGGTTGTTGATAATTGTGCCCAGTGGCAGCCATCGATACACGCATTCTATCAACTTCAGCAGGCGTTCCGCATTATGCTAGAAATAAATACATTTTATATAATTCAATATCATTTTTCTTGAATAACTACAACCCTTTTTCCAAAAATAATTGTTATTGTCTTGTAGTTTTTATTGTTCGAAAAAAGGTTGCATAGCAAATAGTTATTGGAGCAGCATAGGAGAGTATCAAAATTTCGACAGAATGTTAAAGATAAATCAGTTTACATTATAATTTAAGACATAATGTTCTCCATGGCATGGAATAATTATCTAATTCTGTAATACATATTGCCATGCAAGGGAGCAAGTACATCACGTCTTAAAATAATGGAGCCGGTTTGTAAGTCAAATCATCACTGCCTACATTGGTTCTGCAAGTACTCTCCGTTGACGGACATGCATACTATAAAATTATATTTGCACAGCAAAGATACGAAAAAAATTAATAAAACATATGCCTAATAGTCGTAAATCTCAGTTAAATGTAACTGAAAAATATATCCGGTGCGGGCCGCAGCATTCTGTGTGAAATAACATTATACAAAAACACACAAAGCTCTGGCTCGTAACCAATGAATTATGGCACACTACAATCAATCTTCAGAGTCTGTCTCTAATGTCCAGTATCCAGAACTCTTTTTGTGCAACGCTACAATACCGAAAAACTTACCCATTACACTAAGGCTTACAAATAGTAAGTTAGTTAATCAAAGAAAATCGCAAATGTAAACATTTGCGATTTTCTTTGATTAAGCCGTAAACAAAAATACATACTAAACGCCAACTTTTCAAACTCACCCTGTATTTCTGGTGCACTTCCTTGATGAACCCGTATCTGTGTAAAACAAAAATATTTGATGACAATCAGGGAGAAACAAAGTTCATAAAACGAAATGTTCCGATTATAAAGGGAATAAAACCTCCGAAAAGCTGAAAAGCCAAATTACCCTAAGACGTTGTCCTCGAAAACTTAATGTGGGTGTAGTCGTATCATAAAGCGCCCACCTGGAATTCATAATGAGGTCTTCGTGGTTGCCTCGGTTGAGGTACACTCCGCCGGGGAATGCCAACATACACGCCAGTAGTAGCAGGAACACTTCCAAGCCCTTTTTGCCGCGATCCACGAAGTCCCCATTGAATATGTATGGATTCTCAGCTGATGGCAGCCCGTTCTAATAAAATAGGCACAGAACATAAATAATCTTAAATTATTGAATAAGTTTCAATAACGTCCTTGGTTTAAATATAATGAAAAACAGATAGTTTATTATAAAAGTTAGATGCTCTGGTGTACACGTTTAAATTATGTTTCAAAAAAGAAAGTTTTGACATGATGTGAAACCACATCCACCTTCATTAATTCCATAACTTTACTCATGAATTCACAACTAATTTGGCATCGCTGACCCTAATTTGTTGTGGGACAAAATGACAGATAGGCAGGCAATCCAATACATTCAATTATCTCCAAAACTTCTTCTTTACTATAATTCTGGGAAAGAATATGTACACGCATCAAAAAAAGTTTGAGATCATAATGCAAAAGCTGATATATTTTCAAAATTTAACATAAACAAGAGAAAATGTTTACGTTATATCTTTTTTTATTTAAAAAAACACTTTCTGAAATTAGAAATAAATCTAATTTTATTTTTTAGTATAAAAAATTTTTACTTTGATAGAAATAAAAAAATAGTTTAACCAAACTTAAAACTTTTTATTAAAAAAATGTTGTTTATCTAATACAAATAACTCCTCCTCTGGCTCGAACACATGCGGAGATCCTCCTAAGCATGCTGAGGATCAAGTTATCCAGCATTTCTTGTCCCATTCCCATTCTTGAACCGCAGCTTCCCTGAGCTACGGAACCGTCTGAGGTGGTGGTTGCCAGTTCCAAATAGCTCATTTAAGAGGATCCTACGCGAGCTCTATTGGGTATAAGTCAGGAGAGCCGGCAGGCCAGTCTAACCTTTTGATTTCTTATTCTCGGAGAGCAGTATTGACTCGTTGAGCTCGATGTGCGGGCGCATTATCGTCAACCAGTACAAATTGATGCCTATGGTTTACTCGGAAAGGTCTGACGATTCCATCAATAGCGACTGTTTTGTATAGCTGTCTGCCGTCATGAAGCCTTGATAAGGGAGTAAAGGCGATCTAGCCCCAATCATAAAACCACCCCAAAAAGACACTGATTTCCCGCCTTGCTGAACCATTCCAGTGGCCGTTCTTTGCATTTCAGAGTCTCCAGGGCTTCTCCAAACACGGACACGTCGGTTATCTGGATAGATACTGCGATTCGTCAACGAAGAGGCAATTATGCCAAATGTTTTTCTCCTCGTCTTCTTCGTTTTGCCGGAGCCTAGCCCACTGTAATCTCCGTTGCTGACGTTCCCGTGAATTCAAAGGTGCTCGCCAAGACCTCCGTGCTCGTAATCCAGCCTTGTGTGGTCTGATTGCTAACTTCAAATCCGGAGGCGGCCCCTATTTCTACTTTTAATTTAGTGGTATTTATTGTTGGGCCGCAGGCTACCAGCAACCTGATGTAGCGCTTCTGAGCAGCTGTCAAAACAGTTGGGCGACTGCTGCGGGGTCGATCAGCTAAATTACCTCTGCCGTGGTACCTCTGCAACGTGGTTATACTACACAGGATTGGGATATGGCAACTCTGGGTGCTATTTCTCCTGAGAATAGCCTTCTTCCCTCAAAGTTACAATTTTATTCTGGCTCGTAAAACATCTGAAAGTCCTCGTGGCATTTTTTAAATCACAACTTTCCGTGAAAAAATATTCTAAATCCGATAATATTGACTAAGTCAAATTTCTGAATGAGTGTCAGCTTGGATTGCATGTCTTTTTATATTGAAAAACAATTAATTTATTTTATTGTTTTACGTTCTAATTCTAATTTTAAATAAAACTAGTTTTAACGGGTTCATGCACGAAACTTTATTTATTTATTGACGTTTCGCAGCCTTTTCAGGTCTGCATCGACAGAATGCAGAAAAAAAAGTAGTTTTATTAAATGAGTGATGTGCGCGAAAACCTAAGAAACAAATATCTAATTTTAAAATTTAGAATCTTATCAGATTATAAATTACAAAAAAGTCTTCTGTATCACAAAAAACAATCTATTTTTCAAAGTGATCGCAAACTTTTTTTGATGTGTTTTTTTTATTACGAGCAAGAGCTTAAGAACCAACTCGCACATGAAATAAATTGATTTCCAAACAAACTTCTACTCCTTATTTCATCACCTCGAATTTCATTAAACCGATAAAAAGTAACCTACACTTATTATCCACTATTTACACGGATTTAAAAACGCAATTGCCAACGCGCATTAAATCGCCTCATTTTGACAAGCTCTAACAGATAAACAAACATTTTTGATGTGTAACATCTTTCCTCTCGCTTTCCTGCAATTTGTGGGAGTGATTTCGTGAAATGGGACGGAAGTGTGTAACAGGAAGTCGCGAAAGCGCGCGCTATTTGATTTGATTTTAGATTATAATGTTCAAATGGCTTATTCCTTTTGTAGTAGGTTTTATTTCTCTTTTTAGTAATATAAGGTGAGGTTTTAAATGTTACGCGACTACTGTAAGGCTCGCTCGTTTTTTTTTGTTGCAGCTGTCATAGCTTATATGTATATGCATAATAATATGTTTTTTTTTCTATTTGCTACTGTTAAGAGGATTCCTCCTTGATTTTTATTAGTAAAGAATTGATTTTCATACATAAAATATACTTTTACTCCTTCTATGCTCCTGTCTTTCTTTTTTGGAAAGCTTGTGTTTCAAAGAAACTAGAAGCCCTCAAATATGACAAAAATATTTTTTTTAATACAACTAAAGACGTGAAAATTAAATAAGTATTTACAAAAAAGCAAAACTTAGAGGCACAGTATAACTACTTATTATTCTATGGTTAAAATTTGTTTTACATATTTGTTTTACATATTTTATTTTCGAGGAGAAAATCGTCGCGAGCCGAACCTCGCATTTTACTATTTTTATACGCATGTTGTTCCTATCGCACCGTATTTGCTAATACGTGACAGCAATAGTTTTTTTAAATACCTTTTTCTCAAATGCCTCTAGGCTCGCGTTCGCTCTTAACTTACGAGTAACATATATCCCCCTTGTTGACTTAAGGGACTCTAAACAAATATTAAACAAAATATCTTCTGCAACTGCATTTGACATTAAATAATATTATACAATATACAAACACAGGAAATTGCCAATAACATCCATACAGTATATAAAAGAGAAGCTTTCAGCGCATTTATAAGAGATTGATTGCCTGCTCTATGTTGAAAGAGACGATTCATTCGATTTACACAGAATTAGATTCCATCAGCTTAAGGGTTTTTTTTAACAGTAAACGGCTAGATTTTTATCCAGTCTGATAGAAACTTGAAAATTTTATCTTTATTAGTAAAAAATTGCGTTGCTGCTTGTTTTTACAAGCATATATACCAACCTACATACAATAACGTCATATCCGTTGGAGGTAAATTAAATTTACTGGTACAGATTTTTCCTTTTTCCATTTTGTTTTCTTTTGGATAAAGAGCACTAACACCATATCTTTAGAGAATCTTTGAATAACTACCTAATTCAAAAATAAGACCATCTTTGTGATATTTTGTGAAAATAGGTTAAAGCTGCGTTTCCATCAGAGATGTGATGAACAAGAAGATGAGTGTATAGCGAAGCTGTGAAACGGTGCGCAGATGAGCGGTGAAATAACGTGTAGCGTGCTCTTTATCGCCCGCCTCTATCCATAGCACATCCCTCGGACACATTCCTCGCACACATCCCTCGCTCGTTTGTATGAACAAAAACCTCGATTCACTAAGCCTTTTCCACCCAAGTTGTGCTAACCGAGGCGAAGTAAATATAGCGATTCTATTGGTTCCTTACAAACACATTCTTTGCTACGCATCCTTGCACATCTCTGTTGGAAATGCGGCGTAAAGCTAGAAATTAAGTATTTGGAAACCTGACGATTACGTACTCGGTACATTGTCATGTCCGTTCTGTTCTGTCGGTAACTCAACGACATCTTTTAGCTATTCAAAAAATTACTGGGCGTGCATCCGACATTTTATAGAATGCCTTAGAGGCTAGATAAACGTTAGTCCTACTAATATCTCCTGTGTTCCTGTGGGATTCGCAAAAAATAAGGATAACGCGGACAAGTCGCGGGCGGCCGCTAGTATAAAATATATTATTCTTTGCCTAAACGTTTTAGGCATTATTCATAGTTTTGCCATAATAAATAATATACAAATAGAAATTTCTAATACCCACCAATTAACCTAGCCACAAAGTAACCACGCTAAGAACCTAAGCTAAGCTTGATTAAGGCTAAGGTAATGAGGCACAAGGGTAACGGATACAATAAACATATTGATATTACGACATATCGGTCTGGCCATAAACACTGTTACATAAAAACTTCTTTTTTTTTCGACTTTTTAATTATTTTGAACTTCTTTCGATTTTGCGCCATTTCACATATTTTTTCGTATTCATTATCAAATAACAATATGGAAAGGGGTTGTAAAGAAAATAGGATTGCAGTGATCACCTTGCATAAAGTGGGTATGGAACCGTCGGTCATATTCCAGACGCTTCAAAAGCTTGGTATCAGCCGTATATTCGTATATCGTACTATCCACAGATACAACACTTCATCTGTAGAAGACCAGAAAAGATCGGGGCGGTGGCGTGCTGCTAGAACTACAAAGACTGTTAGTGTTGTTAAAGCCAGAATTCGTCGAAACCTCATTAGGAAGCAAAAAATCTTATAGCGAGTAATGAAGATTCCCTCTAGGACTCTGTCGCCTATTATAAAACAAGATCTGAAGCTCGGTGCTTATCGTCGAAAAACAGGGCATGCCCTAAATCAATCTTTACAATTAAAAAGAGTGAATCGATTAAAACACCTTCTGTCGCGCTACGCAGGTGAAAAGCACAGAAATATCCTCTTTGCCGATGAAAAAAAATTCACGATTGAAGAACACTATACTAAGCAAAATGATAAAGTGTACGCTCACAGTTCTAAGAAGCTGCTCAAGTGGTCGGAAAAGTACAACGTGGTCATCATCTTGCGTCAGTGATGCTTTGGTGGGGCTTGTCGTATCATGGAGTCACAAAGCTACATTT